TCATAGGATGGTGGGGAGGTTGTGGATGGGGTCATATCTGTTTTTTCTGGAGTAGAGTTCTCATTTAGTTTATCCATAATCATATCTCCTTTCATGGGCAGATTGTCCTCATCCTTACCTTTATCCTGATTAAATATACATGAAACTTTTTTGACTTTTTGCCTTAAAAGATGACGTCTGTAAGCACGCTGAATAATGACAGCAGATACCTCCTCCTGTTTTCTCTTTAATGTGGTTGTAATTGGTTCATAGGAGACTTTAGAAGGATTGGCTGCCATAAACCGATCTTCCATCTGTATTCTGAGGGCATCCATCTCCCCACTTTCCCCCAAAACACGTTTTGTGAAAGCAAACAAGATGTCAAGGCAGTGAATTCTGTCACCGCTTACCATGGGCAGATCCATTGCAATAAGCTGGACTTTGTTTGGTTTCGCGATAAGAAGAGGAGGATCTAATGAAGCTGCAAAATCTGACAGCTTACTGAACTCTATGAATTGTGTTGCGTCGGGATCAAACTTCTCCCAGACTTCATAGAACATCTCAAAGTCATCCTCGCTCAAGGGTTCAGCGCTTTCTTCAGTAGCAACACTGAAGTTCTCCAAAATCACAGCAATGTACATGTTCACCACTACCAGAAATGATATGATAATGTAGCTGACAAAGAAGAAAATCCCAACAGAAGGGTTGCCGCAGTCACCTTTAACGGAGCTCCCTGGATGGTCTTTATAGGGATCACAGTCTGGCTCCCCACTGTTAAGAATTGGGGCTAGCAAACCATCCCAGCCTGCAGATGTGGTAATTTGAAACAGGCAGATCATGCTGTTGCCAAACGTTTCAAAGTTGAACATGTCATCAATCCCAACTTCCCTCTTAACATAGGCAAAGTTGGACATGCCAAATATAGCATAGATAAACATGACCAGGAACAGCAGCAGACCAATGTTGAACAAAGCAGGAAGAGACATCATCAAAGCAAACAGCAGCGTGCGGATTCCCTTAGCGCCTTTAATGAGACGCAGGATTCGGCCAATTCTGGCAAGTCGGATGACTCTGAAGAGCGTTGGGGACACAAAATATTTCTCAATCATCTCAGCTAAGAACATCCCTGTTAAAAAAACAAGTTAAATCAGTAACGAATATTATTATTACATTTAAAAAACACTTTTAAAAACTTATCCTACAAACACTGTATAAATTTAGGATATTTGAAGAGATTTTAGAAATTAGCCATTCAGCTGTTTTTACAAAACCCCTGTAAAACCTTTAGAAACCCATAAATCCCAAGAGAAATTCTGAAGTAATTTGCAGGATAACGAAAAACTGCACAATTATATTTTTAAGCATTAATTGTAGGACTGAGTATGCAAAAAGATGCACAAATAACACAAAATCAGTCTTTTTTAGGAAGAACTTATAACTTATGTATTTGGACGAGCAAATGCTAGGACCAGGCAGCTTTCTGTTGAACTGTAACAAAAAATAATCTCAGTTAATCTGAAGAAAGAGCATACCTATAATAATATTAAAGTGCCACATAATCAAGCGATGGTATTCAAAGAAAATATGTATGTTTGAAGATAACAACTTAATCACACATGAAATGGTGTGACCACAAGTCTAGTATTAAATGACACAGCAATTCCAAACCTATGATAAAAAGGCTTCTTAGAACTCATTGAAGAATAGAAGAATTGAGCGTTATATTATGTACCTCAAAGCAGAAAAAATAATTACATCCTTTTATTACAAAATACTACAAAAAATAATTTGTTTCCATACAAAAATGGCAAACCTATTTGCATATTAAAAAGTTCTGAGAAGTTAAAAGGACAGAATTTTTACTCAAGTTCTTTCATGTTTTCTCCTTTAGATAAAGCAAAGATTAGCAGAGCCATAGATTTATTACTACATCGGCTTCAGCTCTGTTTCTCTGGTCGCTCACTCTAGCTCAGGCATAAAACCTCCCAGGATCAAACAAAACTCTGAAGCAAGCTGCGGGTTTTACCCTGCTGTCCAGGCTGCTTGCATGCTAGCCTAGCAACAGTCCCACACGAATTCTTCTCCTGGATTTCTGATTGTTGGACTCTTCCTGCAACTGCCACTGTTAGTCTATATCAAAATTGCCTTTCATGTACGGGTTTGTTTGTATGCTGAGGAATTTCTACTGCATTCAGAGTAAGTATCGGATTTAAACTAATGGAAAAATGAGAGTTATGAAACCTATTGCTAAAAAATGTCTTACCACGTTGTTCAGTTATCTAATGGATAATATGAAATCAGAAGAAACAAAAATTGTGGTCAGACTTTCTAGTGACAATATTGAACCAAAATATAAATAGACTTTACATGCCAAAAAGTGCCAGTTTCTGTAGAATTAGCCATTTCATAAAAATGAATTATTCTTACCTACTATGGAGAGAATGACAACCACAAAATCAAAAATATTCCAGCCTACAGTAAAGTAATAATGGCGAAGTGAAATCAATTTCAGGACAAATTCTCCAGTGAAAAGTACAATAAACACCAGGTTAATCCAATATAAAATGTTTTCCATGTCTTCACTCTGATCATCTGTTTCTACCATCATTGTAACCATGTTAAGGCAGATAAGTATCATGATACTGATATCAAATGCTTGTTTCGTCACAAAATCAAAGACCATGCCTTGGAATTTGTTCTGGGGAGGGAAAAAAACAAGATTCATTACAATACACATGGGGTAAAATTTCTTTTCTTTGGAATTGCTACAAATTATCCAAATCTAGTATGAAGGGGATTGCCTGTCTCCCATGAAGTCCTCCATTTGTATGAATTTTCTAGCTCGTACATGTAAACACAATTAAACAGAAATACAAGTACTGTGTTTATAAGTATTAAAGGGATGATTTCAAAACATGCATGGTGCATTTTTTTGAAGCTGCAAGGGAGACTTTGCCACCCAGAACCAGTGCACTGTATCATTTTGTGACACAGACTGTTAACTGAATGCTTAGCTTGGCCAAAAAAACCTAAGGTGGGTGAGTGTAAGCAGGCTGAGAGTTAGTAACACTTCATTTGCCAGAAAACTCACAAAGTTTTCAAGCCCTGAATTCAGTACTCTTCATGCCACCAAAATGACCTTCAAAACAATTATCTTCCATGTTTCAGCTATAGGGAATTTACTGATGGATGGACTGGCCACTGGGCAGGTTCCACAATCCAAAGTAGAACTCAAGAGCTGCAAACACTCTGCTCCAGCCAAACCCTGCTCTGTAGTGCTAGGTTAGGCCTGCTGAGGAGAGCAAACCATTATACGGATTGTGCAACAGGAGTGTGAAGGGCAAAAGGGTTTATTTTTGAGGCAACAATAAAATAACCTGCCCCCATAGAGCAGTTTCAGAGTCTTCCTTGATGATTGAAAAAGCCTGTACCCTAAGGTTTTCACATATTTTGATAAGTACACTGCCACATTTAATTGTTCTAATCAAATCAGGGTTTTGAAAAAATGCCAGATAAAATGCCATTGCCATCAGCAGAGAAAGAATAAGGGAGAAAAGGGAAGAGTCCACCATATTCAGACAAAGAGAGAAAAAAAAAATCTGATTTCATATGAATAAGGATTTTCTTATATGACTTTTTAGTTTACTCAATTCAGCCTAAGGCATAACTGAAACAATCCCAATTTTAAATAAATGTAAAAATAGCAGAAATGATTTTTATCCTTACTGCTGGTCGAGGTATTGGCTTTTGGGGTTTCTTTGAACCCAGTTTTTTCATTGCATTGTAGTATTTCTTCTGTTCTTCTGTCATAAAAATGTCTTGACCTCCAAAGTAAACCAAAGAGACAAAACCTGGTTACAATCACGTATTTCTATTGATTACTTATAAACGATACTGAATAGTAATAATCACTCTTGTTCACATTTTCATCTGTGGAAAAAGCTTGGACAGACATAAAAATCCCCTGTTATTATGATTATTAATACTTTCACAACAGAAGAATTGCTTTACATATTCCACTTTTAATGTTTGCAGTATTTTTCTGGGAGGCTTTTGAAGTTGCATTGTTTGTGGCAAACCTTTGCTTTCCTTTGGGGACAGGGAGGTACAGAGGAAGGAGAGTATGCTTTTTCTGTTCTACTAAGCTTCATCAGTTATTAAAGAGGCACAAATTAATAAGATATTGTAATCCCCTTCTCTTGTTTTTCCTCTAGAGTAAATTTTGGCAAAATTTCAGAACTGACATCTATGATAGCAAAGGAGAATTACAAAGTATCTAGACAGTTATATTTTACAACCTCTTCTCCGTCCGCTGGGACAGGACTTGAAGAAGGAGATCCTGGAACTAATATGTGGAACAATAGAAAAAGAATAATTTCTGTCCATCTCAACCAATTTCAGCACATGGATCCAACTACATTTCCACCATTCCAGTAAGACTTTGTGTAGCCAGGTACTTTAGCTAAATTCTGCAGCTGAAACACTGATACATTCTGAGGCAGTGTTGACAAAACACAAAGACTAGTACAAATAAAGGTAATAAAAAGTTTATTGCTAGTGTTCAAAAATCTACACTGCTGAGCTCTGACACATGAGGGTAGTATAACTAAGAGTCTTTATAGCTACATTTAGCTATTTCAATGGTGCCCGGGGTTCAGCTGTAGCAGTCATTTTTCTCCTCTTAGTAGCTGGTGCAGTGCTATGGTTTCGACTTTTAGTCTGAGAACAGTGCTGCTAACGCACTGATGTTTTTAGTTGTTGCTAGGTAATGTTTACTTCGATCAAGGACTTTTTCAGTCTTATGCTCTGCTAGTGAGGAGGGCAAACGAAGCCGTGAGGAAGCAGAGACGGACACCTGACCCAAACTAGCCAAAGAGGTATTCCATACCACAGCATGTCATGCCCAGTGTATAAACTGGGGGGAGTTACCTGGAAGGCCCAAGATTGTTGCTCAAGTTGGGCTGGGTATCAGTCGGCGGGTGGTGGGCGGTTGTATTCTCTTCCCTTATTTCCCTTATCATTATTATTATTGGTGGTAGCAGTAGTGGTTTTGTGTTATACCTTAGTTACTGGACTGTTCTTATCTCAGCCCGTGGGATTTACATTCTTTCGATTCTCCTCCCCATCCCTCTGGGAACAGAGAGGGAAGAAGGGGAGGAATGAGTGAGTGGCTGTGTGGTTCTGAGTTACCGGCTGGGCTTAAACCATGACAAGTGGTTAGTCTTTTTATGACTCCAGCCACAAATCCACACCTTTACAAAAATGACATTGAGTTTTTCACTAACCATGGACAGACATATGTTGTCACTTGTCCATTAAATCCACATCAAGCCAAATCATAAGCTTTAATAATTTAACATATTCAATATGCAGAGCGCATATTAATTTATCATAAATTTTTTAAAAATGAATGAAATTGTTGTGTGTGGACTAAAAATAAGCAATTTTTTATCTTTCTTTTCAAAATAACAGGGAAGTACTTATCTTCTTTTTCTGCTGGTTGAAATTGTCTATGATGACACCAATGAAAAGGTTCAAGGTAAAGAATGATCCAAATATGATAAAGATGACAAAGTAAAGATACATGTACAGGTTATCTTCATACTTAGGCTGATCCAAAACCTGCAAAAAAGGCACAAAAACTAAGCATTAGTTTAACTGTGAGCACAGAATCAATATCTGGGTAGAATTTAGGGCTTTGCCACTCTGATCTTTGCCTCTTATGGTCAAGTTCCCACGTATCTATCCCACTGATCTTCAATCTATGATGTTACGTTCTTGACAAAGAACTTGGCTATCAAACTTGATAATTCATTTCAAAAAATGTAACTGGCTGATATGAGCATAGAATAAACACCGAAGGCTTAAATTAGTCTAAGTCTACAGGCAACACAAAACACCAGCCTATAAAGCTGTAAAATTTCTATGTATCTCATGGGAGGCCCCTGATGTGAGCTTGTGGAACTTTCACTAGTACAGGTAATTAGGAAACTGTCCTGGATTATGGAAGAGAGGCATCCAAGCCATGTTTAGAGTACGTATATTTTCTTGGTACAACTATACATATTTGCTATTACCACAACAGGCCTCCCACTGTGAGGGTAGCTTATGAGAAAACCTGGGGCTTTGCCAGTATAATTTATTCAGTTGTTCACTCAGAATTAGATGACAACTTGCACCAAGAGAGCAAGAAGAAGGCAAAAGGGTAAGAAAGTGCACAGGCAGGCCTAGTTAAGAACAGGAACTCTGCCCTGAAGAAAGGAGTTGGAGCTTGCTGAGCACACTGAAAGTCTCAACTTTATAAAGATCAACTTTATAAAAAATCATCTCTAAGCTGGGTATCAGTGCCTGTTTCCAAATGTAAATAATGCCTCAATGCACATAATGAAAGGAGGAAAAGACATTTCACGGCAATAGATAAGTCTACTGTGGAAATGAGGAATTTGGTCCAACAGCACAATAGAGAACATGGAATCCTTTAGGAATGCTCCTCTGCTTTCTTTGTCTCCTGTATTTTTCCTGTGGTTTCCATTTTCTTTAACTACAAAACTATAATAACTCCTTGTTTTCTCATCTTCACTGTTACTTCTGAAAGATGTTATAATTATATTCTTAAATCTTGGAGCTTGCACAGTCAAAACAAATGGACTCAAGGGACTATACTTACATTACGAGAATCCACAGCTGCGTACATGATATCCATCCATCCTTTAAATGTAGCCTATAAACAGAACACTGGTGTTTACCTCATGCTTTTCCTGGAAAATGGCTTGTCAGAAACTCTCCCCTTCCATTGTATGTTTTAGTCATATACAAGAATTGGAAGCAAATTCTAATATCTGACTATAGACAACACAGCATTTATTAAGAGCTTTTATCAATTATGAATAATATTTGATAGAAAAGTTATTTTCCTGTGTATGAGGAAAGTAGATGCACTTGATATAGATTCAGTGCAGGCAAATTAAGTTTTGAATTGCATATTTTTTCTCATAGTCAGCATAGCCTCTATGCTTTGTATTATTTCTGTAGAGTCATGGATTTATCCCACACTATATAATTATAAACCAAGAAGTGAGAGACAAGATTTCCAAATGCAAGAAACAACAGAAAATTAATTTTTACTGCTACAAGTAAACAACAGTGATATAGAAAGAGAAATAAAAATTAAAGAGTGGTGACTTACCACTTGAAGCAGAGAAAGATAACCAAGGCCTACATTATCAAAGTTAACCTTCACATTCTTCCATCGGGCAGTTTCATTGTTTTTTATGAGCTCCTCACATTGACTATAGTTGTTGATTTGGCTGATATCAAACCTCTCATCAGTTGTAGTGTTAACACAGTAGTAAAATTTTCCAGCAAACAGATTTACTCCCATGATACTGAAGATCAGCCAGAATATAAGGCAAACAAGAAGCACATTCATAATGGATGGAATCGCTCCTAACAGGGCATTCACAACCACCTACAGTACAAGGAGAGACAGCATAAGAACCCTGGCACCAGTCTTACAAATGCCTCATCAGACCTACTTAAATGTAACACTCTATTTTAACTCTAAAAGCTGCATTGCACTTTTTTAATTGTTGAGAGTATCAAGTACAAAAAGCAGTATAAAGACAAAATGTCAATGTAATTAGGACAGCCATACAAACATTAGCAAGTGGTGACTTTAAAGAATGGGAAAAAGAACAAACAGGAAGAATTAACTAAAAAAAAAAAACAAAACACCTCACAAACAAAATCATCATATACTGTTTTTTATAAAATATCTACTTCATGTATGTCTGCAAAACCATACCCATAATATTTCTAATGACTGCAACAAAAACAATGAATTTTTTTCTATTACATGTTTACTGGATAAACAGTCAAAATCATTATTACTACTGAACAAGTTTTTATTCAAAAGTCATTTTAAGATTTCCTTTAAAAAAACCTGAGGGATATATGCATGTTCATTTGAATGGTTATATATAAAATCAGAAAAGCAGATACGTTCATCTGAACACAGAATTGCTGGTAGTGTTCAGGCAAGTGGCAGATAAGACTTGAAGAAGGAAGAGACTAGATGTAATTCCCAAATGAATTTTTGGGAAAATCAGGAAAGAAAAACAGGAAAATGAGTTCATGTATGATGATAAACAATGATAAAAAGCATGCCAGAATAAAAATAAAATAGTAAAGAAAATAAAATTAGGGAGAAAGTAGGTCCATTCTGAATGAGAATGATTTAATTAATGATGGAATTGATGAACTTCTAGATTAGTTAACTCCCATTTTAAATCTGATTTTAAGTCTAACAAAATAGAATTTAGTAACTATGGAGCACCATTGTCAATTTTCCCAAAACAACTGAATCAGATCCTTAGAACCTAATGAAGACTTTGTTTTAAAAATGCAGGACATTAAGTGTTATGTAGATGTAATTGTTTATAATTCATTTAGTTTATATGATGTAGGTACTACAGCAGATCCCTTAGCACACTATGGTATTTACTTCTATTTGAAATACAGATATGTAGCTTAGCCTCTAAAATATTTTGGCGTTACATTTGTATCTACAGTTAACAGGTTTGATAGATTCAATTACTTGTAAAAAAGTAGTCATTCCTTGCCATTTTTCAGAATAGAAAATAAAACCTTTGAATGTTAAGAGTAGGTGATGAACCACCACCATATACCATATAGTAGATTGGGCTGAAGGAAAGGAGAAATACTTGTTTTACTTTCAGGGCACCATTCCTGCCAAAACAATGCCTCTTTGGGGTGATACATACTTTGGATAATAGGACCTCAACAAAATTGCTAAATTTAGGAACTGGATCAAATGGGTCTCTTTCAGTGTAAATTACTCTCTGACTCAATAAAAAGAACAGAATGGTGGATGAAGTCCAAAACTTCCATGCTTTGCCACATATTTTAAATCAAATGTTTTAGTAAGTGTTTATTTATAATGCAGAAAGTAAAATATATATATACATTGGTTTTTATACTAATAATCTCCTTATCAATACCTATTATAAATCAATAAGCAAAAATAATCTAGCATTTTTTCACTCATCAGCCAGGCAGAGAGGATTTCCTGGCTAATGGATACATCTATTCTGATTATTTCAACAGTGCTGTTACTATCAGCTTTGTCAATGACATGACTGTGGAAGGCCATGAGGAGTAGTTTGACCTGAACAAATGAATAGTTTCATAATAATGCTGAATTAGTTGAAATTGGAATTCCATGAACTCACTGGTTTCAGTGGGAAGTTTGACTGGAATAATTAATGACAACATAATTTTTTTTTCCAAGTTTGGGAATATTTTCCAAATACATATTAGTTATTATTTTCACATTATTTTTATTTAAAGGTGTCTCAGTTCTTCTACTTAAAATATAAGTAGAGGGTTTTTTTTAATTTAATAATATAATCCATCAGGAATAATTATTGAGAGATAAAGGGATAGTTAATGAAGTGAAAATATTTGTCCTCAAGCTCTCAGTCTCATTACACCCGAGAATTTTGTTCCTCCTTCTGCTACAGCTACAGGTCCAGTCATGTTCCTTTCTTTAATTGCTGGGTTTTTACAGCTGACCTACTTTCCCCGTATTTAGTCTGAGTCCTAAAGCTATAGCAGGACTAGTATTTAATATGGGTCATTTGAAGACACTCAAAACAAGACTGCTGAGCATCACTGAAAACACTGATCCATTGGTAGCAGGGGTGTGAGAAAAGATGGTAAGGTCTGACAGCAAGTGAAAGCAGGGAAAGCATTAGAAAGATATTGAAAACATTGTTTACTGGTTAAAAAAAAAAAAAAGGGGTAGTATGTGCCTAGCACCATACAGCAGTAATACTGCTTGATACAGAGCACAGACAGATTAATTATGCTCCCTCAGGCTACTTTCATGAAGTCCCAAGTGTAAAGTGTATTCCCCTAGCAATAGTAGTGATGGGAAGACGCAGGGGAAACATATCTTCCACAGGGGCAATGTTTTATATTCAGTATTAGTCCAGGCAGACACAAGTCCTGAACCTAGAAAATAGTATAGTGGATTAAAAATTTTAGATGTGTGGAATGGAATTTCTTCCTTTTATATAGGAAGTATAATGCTCACTCTGGAAGTAATTTTAAGCATCTGTGCAAAAATGTGCACCATGCTATATTGTCATATTTTCAGTTCACAGATGTTAAACACCAATTAAATTACTATGCTGGGAACAGACATCTTGAATTTGCATGTATCAGACCTTAAAATTGTCTCACACTAATTTCTTCACCAGCTTGACCTACTGTATCTTTAAAGACAATAGCCTGAATTTAATTAGTTTAAATAAAGCAAACACATTATATCTATAGGAAAATTTCAAATTCAATGGTCAATTACCTGGTTAATAAAAGTTATCTAACTTCACCCACTCCTTCTTATTATATCTTTTGCTGAAGGTATACATCTCCTTATCTGGGTATTTTACAAAGAAACACAGCAGATAATGTCAAATCAGTAGGTAAAGTTTACACCAATATTAAAGTTATGGGATTGACAATTACCCATAAGCCCTATGACAACGTGATTGATTTTAGCTTGCCACATTAGATTGCCACTTAAGCAATTTACTGTGCATATAAAATTTGTAATATTTTGTATTTAGGATTTTTTTCTTTGCTAATCATTTGCTTAAAAAACTCCAACAGCTAATGTGTTCTTCAGCAAGAGACTACTGATGTTTTAGATAGCCCTTATGTCTGATACAAGCATCTCAAATTTTCAAATTTGCTTTAGCAAAGTTCCAGACATTTGTTGGAGCAAGGAAGTGCTATTTTCTATTTGAATTTATAACCTTCAATCAAAGCCTGTTGAAATCTTCCCACACACGCATAGAGCACCACATTTTCTTCAGAAGCTCACCAATTTGTAGTTGACTTACAAACTTGCTTATCAGTTTATAACCTGGGGTGCCCAAAGATCAGTGATTGCAGTAGGGAGCTCACACAAGGATCCCTTTTAATTACAGCCATAGGGTTTCAGCTCAGGTGCATCTGCCGATTAGACCTATGTCCACGGCAGACAGATGGACCCTGAAGGTATAAGCCAGACAACTTCTTTTGTCTGGAGCTAGAGTTATATACCATCTCCAGTTGTTGACTACTGCCCTTAAGAGAAACATTTTTGAGTTTTCATGTCATAGCAGAGCACATAAGGTCTTTGCCAATTCAGTGCACTAAGGAATTCATCTAAACTAATCAATTTGACTTTGCACTGGAATAGATTGAGAAAGCCTAGCTGGGCAGCAGAGTCTCGGGTGTTATAACTAATGTAACAAACAGCTGGAGACAGTAACTTCTCCAGTGTACCCAACTGCCCATGGCAGGAGGATTGGAACTAGATGATCTTAAGGTCCTTTCCAACCCTAACTATTCTATGATTCTATTCTATAACTGTCAGAAAAAGTCTTCAGATATGTTTTCAGGCTGATTAGTGGTCTATAATCAACAACTTAAAATCAATAGGGAAAGCAATAACCCACCAATTTATGCCAGAAATCATAAAGTCAGCTCCATCTTTGATATACTATAAGAATTTTAAATAGAATGCAATAGCTTTATTCTCAAAGAGGGGTATTTTAACACTGCCAATTTACTTAGTAACATCGGAAATTGTTACAAAACTTTTAAATTGTAACAAAAATTCCCAGTTAACATTTACAGTATAGTGGGTTAAAAGATATTTGGCAGACTACTCATGATATTCTATACTGGTATGGAGTACACATGTGCATATGTATGTGTGTATGTGTACACACACTTTTATGAGGAAGTATTGATTTTTTTAAACTGCTCTGGCTATATCAGGATTTATTTGTATGGAATAAATTCAGTTTTGTAGTAACATTGCATAGATCCATGCAGTTGATCTTCAGGCTCTCCAGGAAAATATGAAATAGGGTGAAAGGCCAAGGAGCCTCGATAAGTGTAACAATGTGTGCAGTAACATATGAATTCATATAAGCAGATGAAGCCTTTTGCTTATATGTTAGTGATAAATGCAAAATACATACAATGATAGCGTAGCATTTCTGCATGGATTTGTCATTGATCATTCTGCATGCATGTATTCTTTCTATGCATGCATAGTTTCAGATTCTTTCATTTTGTCTTACCCTCATCCCTTCAAATCGTGACAAGGCTCTTAGAGGTCTCAAAGCTCTTAGTGTCCTAAGGGATTTAATCGCACCAAGTTCTGAGTAGCCCAAGGCATTAGCTGTTAAGCTAACCAAAGAGACCTACACAAAAACAGAAAGGCAATATTGCTCATTTAGCTTATATATCCTTTCAAACATATGGCGGGAATGATGTGTGCCCTGAACTTCTCAAGAAGATTCAAGGCTGGACCTCTTTCTCCAGGAATCCCTCTATAATGCAGAAAGGACTTTCAAGTCAGACAAAGTAGAATAAAAGTATATTCTAAGTACCTGTTGATGAAATCATGTTGGTAGAATGGTATAAAAGTAGGCCTTCTAAATTCATATAAACCAGTCAACACTTGGTGGTATTGAAAGAAAAATGAAGTCCCAAGAAAACTCCCAAAAGCTGGGTGAATTAGAATGGTCAATTTAGTTCAGAATTTCCCATAGTATCTTCGGAACTTGATGAGCCTGTAAAAGCTCTCAAAAACCATATCCAGACCTGGCCTTTGGTCAAATGTAACTTTCTGGTGTCCAGAAAATCTTATTCAACAGCCATAGCTACCAGATCTGTTTATATTTGACCGGATAAGCAACACTGATAATCAACTGTTTGTTAGACAACAGTAGAGGCTTCATTGTTAGGCATATCCACATTTCATTAAATTCCCTGTGACTCCTTTAACCACTTCATTAATCCTGGCTTGCATAACGCTGGTCTGGTCTGCAGGCAGATGAATAAGTAAACTAGAATAGCTGTAAAATAAATAATACAATTATCTTTCATCAATAATTCTTAGAAATGTATTTATAATAAACCATTGGGAAGGAGTCACCCTAGAAAAAAACACACAACAAAATCAAAGCCAAACCAAGCCATTGTCTATTTCTCTCTGCTTAATGCCCTTCCCTTCCACCCTTCCTCTTAATTCTCTCATTTCCATATTAGACTTTGCACTTCGTTACCTCAATCCTCTGGCTAAAGATAAAAAAAATAAAAAATCAAAAATCATAGATTGGTTTGGGTTGGAAGGGACCGTAAAGATCATGCAGTTCCGCCCCCCTGCCATGGGCAGGGACACCTTCCACTAGACCAGGTTGCTCAAAGTCCCACTCAGCCAGGACTTGAATGCTGCCAGGGATGGGGCATTCAAAATCCAGAAATTCAAAATGCTTCAAAGATAAAATTTTTTCCATGAAAAAAATTGCACCAGCGTGAGTGAGGGTGCTATGAAAATCTAATAAAATTATTTATAAAGTTCACAGAAGTAACTAAACCACAGATTACCGAATAAGAATTAAATATTTTTTGATAGATAAAATAAACAGGTAGATAAAATAATGACAGTGTTATCTATTGTCCAGAGTGTCTCTTATGTTCTGCTGGTCGTGGTAATTTAAACATGGGATGATTGAGCCTGAAAATTAAATCTTTTACAAGGGTACAGACTCAACCACAGAATACTATGTGTGCATATAGTCATGTTTTATCATAGCATCTGCAATGTTGGTATGGATTAAAAAGTTACAATGTTTTCCAACCTCTGTATAGTAAAGACTTCATGGCCTATCATATCATTGTGGTTTTAGGGAGACACACAGAGGTTTCTATAGACTTCTGCTGCTTTTGGAATGAGATGACAAGTGATTCAAGACATATTCTTACCTTGCATTCTATGGGAATTACGTATGTGGAACTGAGAGGTGCCCTATTAGCACAGACAAATGTAGTCAGGCTATTGGGGATGGAAGGGAAATGAATGTCTGCTGTATTGTTAAAGATCTGTAGACTTCATTTATGCTATCCAGTACTGTGCATGTATTTGTCAGCATGTAGACCTGAAATTACAGGACACTCTGCACTAGATCTGCTATAGACAATATGCACTTGCCCATTGGTGGTGCAGCCTTTTGAAAATCATCTGAAAGCCCATTCTAAGGGAGCTCATCCACAGTTCTCCAAATGTCTCTTTAAGGTCACCCATGTGATGCAGTGAAAAGTTTTAATAGTACTGAATAGTATACTGGATGTGAGAGTTCCTAGCAGTGTTTTCCTTTGATATTACAGAGTATCACTTACAGTAATTCATTAGAACGTTAGAAAGCTCTAAAGAAATTACTTTGAAATATGTAAATTCCCTATACAGCAAAAAATGAAGAGGATAAACAGCATCCTTTCTATACCATGAAAAAAAAGCATTATTTCAATAAATTATTTCAATAAGCATTACCACTTCATAAAACTAGAGAATATTAAAACAACCTCTCTAGAGTAATATGCACTTCTATATAGTTTTACTTTTCTGAACAGTGTTATAAACCATACCACAGCAATAGTTTTAAAATAGTTTCCACTGAATAGGACAGAAGGCTTATTGTGAAACCCTAATATTCTGATTTTTATCACCTTAGAGAACATGAAAAAGAATACATACATCAACAATCAGGAAGTCCAGCCAGCACCATGCATTAGTGAAATAGGTTTGAAAGCCATAAGCCACCCATTTTAAAAGCATTTCCAGAATGAAGATATAAGTAAAAACTTTGTCAGCATATTCCAGCATGGTCTTGATAGTTTTACGTTGCTCTATGTATATATCTTCAAATGCCTGTGAAAAAAGATTTTTGAAGATATAATTAAATGTCTTCACAATTTGCAATGTGGCATATAGTAGCCAAGAAAAAAAATTAATTGGAAAGATATATGGGATGATAAGACATACATCCTTCCCTTAAGCACAGTTTTTGCCTTCACTCCTTACTGTAGTCTTTTCATGAAGCTGGGTCCAAACACAGTATCCAGCTTTCAGTGTAGCTGAACAGTGATCCAAAAACCTTCTGTAATACCTCCAAATCTCAGTTTAATGGATAGCAGTGTCTTATTCACATACGGATTTATTTGTGATAGCTACAACTTTATATCAAAAATACATAAGGGATTTAAAAATTACTCTGTGATACAGAATTTTTTGAGGAACTAATAATTGAAACCAAACTGTACACACTAACCCATAAAGCAATCCTGAACAGAGATTAATAATTCTCTTTAAAAAAAACCACAACTGTTTACACTGTCAGTAAATCACCATGCGTTGTCCCAAGTGTAGCAAGTAAACTATATTTTACTGCTGCTATGAGGAACTGGTAAATGCCTGATAGTATCCCATTGGCACCTTACATCTCAGTTTGATAATTTATGTTACTGTTGATCAGTTCCTAGCTCAGCTATGCTTTACTTTAAAAGTGTATAAGACAAAAAAAAAAAAAAAAATCATCAATATGAATATATGTGAATACCAGTCTGATATAACTGATGTCTTATTTCCATTAACACTAACTTGCAAAAAAAATTTTCTTAGCCTGTGAGCAAACTCCTGAGTATCGTACAAAACATGCCAAACACTTGTTGATAAATGTTGACATTAGGACATTTATGAACTGGATATTAAATTCTGATATATTACATGCAGTCGCATAATTATCTGGAATTCTAAATGCTTGCTGCTTAAAATTGACACAACAGTTCTACACAGAATTTACCAGAGCACCGCTGCTGAGAAGAATCATGAAGACAATGAAGGTCTCAAACCAGTTGTGTTCAACAATCTTATAGCAGGTTTTCCTAAGATTCCACCAGATTTTCCCTTTCCCATCTTCTACACTGACTTGACAGCATTTGAATCTCCGCACACAGCCTAAGTGCAACAATACATTTTGTCAGAATAAGGTAAGTATTTATTAGGAATCACAATGAACCAAATTAATTTGTTTTATTTCAGTGCTACTGCAATAGATGCTTGTAAATAAGTATCTCCTATTTGAGGATTTTTGTTTCAATATTTAAAGTTTTACAACTCTTATAATACCTTCCAAAATAAAGCTTCTCCTTGATTTTTAACAAAAATGGAATCCAGACCAAAACAACAGTTAAGAGTAACCACCTTGCATACATTTTGCTTTGCCTACCTTCTGTAAAACAAGCCTCTGGCTCCAGAACTTCTTCAGGTTCTGCTTCTGGCTGTTCCCCTTCTGGAGGTAGTCCAATATCAACTGTGCTGCCTTCTGATGAACTGGATGCATTTAATTTCTGTGAATGAAACCCCATATTTTTTTTTCTTTTTCAATTTTATCTATTTTGAATAGAAGTTCATATTTGAAATGCATACCAATATATTTTGCATTTATTCCACACTTTGACATTAAAATAATTTCTGATCTATATTCCATAATGCCAAATTGCTCTACTACAGGTAAGGTCACAAGATTAGAAACTACATAATGTGCATTTTCCCTATTGAAAATATGTTGATATTTTCATACAAGGAATTGCTAACATTAGACTACTATTTTGAGCCACACATATGAATTCTGAAATGAAATTTCAGAACTTAGGAATGGGTGCCTCCCACACTTGGTACTGTTTAATTATTCCAATCATGTGGCTGCATTTTAGATTACACTTCAGATAGCATGTGTTAACACAAATAATTTTCCAACGTCATGACCAAACCAACAGCAAGCTGCACAGATGTATTTTCATGTCTCAAGTAAATGTTATGCTAGCAAGTCTGTAAAATCTAAAAAATTCAAATATAAGCTTTTCATTATCATTGACATGAAAACACATATTATGATTTGCATAGGATAGTTTAATTCTATTTATTTCCAAAAGAGCAGCTTTAAGAGCAGTAGCCGACATTTTGCATTCTCACTTGCCAATGCATTTTCTGAATTTATTGTGCATTTTGAAACTACTTATTACTTTGGTACAGTAAACATACATGTCCAATTCCCTATAAAAGCCCTTTTTTTTTTTTAAGAAAAAATTATTTTTGAAGACTAAATTAAAAATCAGTGCTTTTAAAACAGTACTGTCATAAAACAGTACTACACCTATGAATCATGTCAATAATCAAATCTTCAAAATAATTATTTCATACTGTAACATTATTGGCAACAGACAAGTATGAGTACTATAATAAGTAAAAGTAGTTTAATCACAGCATTTTATGACTCTTCTAATGTTATCACTATGTGGAGTATAACATCAGTAAAATGGTTGCATTGATAAGTAGCTAGTTTTATAAAGGGAATGATGTAAGCAGATTTAGAATATAGTCTGTAAGGAAGTAATATTACACAGAGAGAGAGTCAATGATAAAATTAAAGATATATCTTTGCTGACACTTAAAACTTCAGTTAGAGGCATTATTCTTTTAAAACATGTTTGAGAAGCTCCAAATTGAATACATGTTTGTTTGTTTGTTTGTAAAGGAAATGTAAACAATATTAGTATGTGAAAACAGAAAATACCATAAGATTTAATGGAATTTTACATTGCAGACAATATTAAGTATGTTCTTCAAACAAAAAAGATTAATTCCTTTCTTCTCAACTCTGATTTTATTGAATCACACTGATAATATACTGTGTTGTCATTTTGACATTGGCTTAACTTTTATTTTTGTGTATTATGGTACACTACAGCCCACATTTTAGAGGAAGAACAAACAAATTGAAACATTTATTGTATAGTGTATTATGCATGCAATTTCAGTGATAACTACACACTCACTTCGTTTCTTTGAAAATCCCATTTTACATATTCATGTCTTATGTTTGTGCATAAGCTTTAGCATCTATGAGGTCAGCTCCAGTGTACAAAAACATGGATGCATACTTTTCTGCAGATTATTATTACAAATTCCCCACTATAACATATCCAAATTATGGATAATGCATGGCAGTTTGGTGATTGTGGAATACTGCCTCTAAAATAGAGAAACTGGAATAGAATAAATACTGTAGTTCTCAAGTACCAGAGAATGTAAACATCAGTGGAAGTCAATCATCAGTTTGAGAAGAGGCCAGAAATACCATAAACACAAGGTACATTCCAAAGAAATTTATATATGGTGTTAAAAATCAGCGTTTACCAATACAATACAGTAAATATGTTTTAAACTGAGAAGTGATTATCTGTTTGCATTATGTGGAGTTTTCCTAAAATGTCGCTTGCATCATTCCAATCTGGACAGCATTTTTAGCAGAATGCTGTATAGTAGCAGAGCAAACAAAAATTATAAACTGGTTAAACCACAATTTTGAACGACCTATACTGCCCATTATTTTATAGGAACATGAAGATTTCAGTAGCTCAGATATTACTCAGTTAGTTTAAACGGCAAAAGTTAAGAAAGGGTAGTGAATTCCTATTATTGCAATGGCATAAGACTAACAGCTCAAGATGGAAGATTAGAGCCACCCACTATAAGAAGAGATCAATAAGATCAGGTAGAAAAAGTAGAAAATTATCAGTAGAACTGTCAATTATAGGAACATCAGAAAGCCATCTTTATTTCTGAGGGGCAGTATGTATGGTGAGTTGTAGCTTACAATACTCTTCTCACTGAAAATCTGGTATACTTCTTTTAAACAGCTGTAATAGTAATCACAGGAGTTAAGCTAAACAGACAAATCCTAAAACGAATCAACAGCAACTGATACTTGAAACACAACAATTAAATAACTTAGCCCACTGAGAATTCAGTTACTCTTCTGTTGACATGACAGAGTATTTCCTTAGCACACTCTTCTGCTATACATGAATTTAGGCCCAACCTGATCAGTACATGAAGATGCATTTTATAAAAATCATTCAATAAACTCAATCTGTAATAATTCAGTATCATTTGTGGAAGAAAAATTAAGAATTTCAACATAAATAGTTACTATTTTTTGTTTGTTATTTTTAACATTGAATTTAATGTATGGCATTCTATACAATATTTATAAAATTTTGTATGCATTAGAAACAGGAAGGTTTTATGATACAAAACCTTAAGATTTTAGAAAATCAGTTAAATTCAGTATGCTAGTAAAACTTTTCACTAACAGTCACTATTTCCACATCAAACTTCTGCTCCGGTATAAAGCAGCAGACACAGGGATGTTGTACTGATTTCTAAGTATTCAACACAACATCACATGGGAATGGACCATGTTATTGCTATGTTTTTTTCATACGCATTAATATATAGGAAAACTTTTTCTACCACTTAATACATCTTTCCAGTGTTTGTACATATAGAATACAGCTGGATAGCTAGACTACCCTTAATTGCAGACTCTGATATGTTAGGTATATAGTGTATGTTGCAGTTCTTTACCTTAGCATATCTCAAAGTTACTTAAATTCTTCTCTGCTCACCAACATTACAAAAACTTGATTTAGGCATTTCTATACATGTATGCATGTATACATTGCTTAACATGTATATAGCCTTTTAAAAAATAAGCCTGCAGAAACAAGAGAATCATCAGGCCAAAAAATTCTCTTTGATATAGTAGTAAGTCCTTTTAAAGACTTTTTTATACCATAGTTTTAGGTTTCAAAAATATTGAGTGACCCAGATTAAAAGATACTTAGAGGGACAAGTGTTAGACACTCTGAAAGTTAGGATGATAGATTCCTTCTGAAAAGTATGCTAAGGAAATTATTTTCAGAGAAATCTACTTTGCAAAACCTCAGACTGTACATACTCCATCTCCTTTTCACAGAAAACAGTAAGGGGACAAAGGTACTTACATGGTTCTAAAGCAGCAGTATACTGATTAACGTAAAGAGATACCTATTCTGTCACATCTACCAACAGCCTTGCCTGTCATGCTTTAGTCAGCAATCCAGTATAGTATGAGATACATATTTTGGTTTAGGTTCAAGATAGAAACTGAAAGTGGAAAGCAGTTTGCCTATCAGAGCAGCACTGCAAAAGCAACAGCCAAGATTAGGTCAGGAAGTTCTTGACGTAATTACTTTCTGAACCACGGCAACATCTCATAGATTCATACAATTCTGCTTCACTTACAGGCAGGACACTTGGAGCTTCTAACATTTCTTTCTTTCTTTCTTAGATGATTATCTGAGAGTAGCTGAACAGCTCTTAGGTTAAGATTTTTGACAAAGCCTGAAATTTCATGATTGCCCAGGATGCCACTAATAGCTGTTGAAATCGTAATTTAAGGACTGAAGGAGCAAAGAACAGAACAGTCATAAGCAGGAAGATGATGCCAACAGAAACCACCATTTTGGTTTTGCTTTCCTCCCAAATGCCTGTGAAAATGTTAAATAATGGAAACGATATTGGTTTTATTTTCTCAGCGCTGTGTGTATGTCAGTATGAAAATGAGATGTTCCATAATATAAATGGCAATACTATAGACAAGCTTATCCAGTCTTTTTTCAGTACAACTATATTACCTATAAAATTGACCAAGTGGTAAATATCATCATAGTTCCACTGGTATAATTAGTGGAATCTGGATAACACTCTTTCTAGTGTTTATACAGTCAGGCATAATAACTCTATCAGTTCAAAAAAACAGAACATTTAAAATCAAAGCAAAACAATTCTGTGATGATTATTGTTTGCAAATACTGCAGAAAAACAGGTTCACTAAATTATAGTACATTCTGTACTTTGTTGCTATTTATAATTCCTTTGATCTACTTAGTTATGAGCATTTCATAAATAAAAATATTTGCAAGAATGTTGGATGATAGCAAAAGTGTCATAAATAGCAGTGGAAATATTTGCAAAAGCACTCCCAATGGAAGCTACTTAAAAAGGCCCTTTGATTCATACAAGCAATAGTGAAAGGATATTTCTGACAGAGCAAGGGACTGCTTTTTGTAAGGATCAATTAAGCTAACTCCAATTAAGTCTAACATTAACAATATCATCCACTGTGAATCACAATATGCCAGTACAATGTGACCAATTCACAAACAATTCCAAACCTAAATTCTTCAGAGTATCAAAGGATTCTGAAAAATTAGTATTTTTAAATAAAAATATGACTTAGAAGACAAATAATTCCTTATAAAATGCAAGACAAAAAGCTATGCAATAATAATATTTTAATTCCACTGATTTACCAAACTGGAAGCAGCATTGCAGAACTATGGTGTTGCTAATATTATGATAACGTTTAATAGGTGAGATGTAATTAATAAAGCTCAGAACCTTTTGGACCAACATCAGTAACTTACTCACTTGACTGTGGAACTTTATTTATTACTGATGA